GGGTCATACATGGTGAGGGGATCTCGGGCGAAACGCCCGGCCCGCCCTAAAAACAAGCCGCGGGGTGCGACGGGGAGAAGTTATCTAGAAGGAAAAGAAGTGGAGGTGGAGGAGGAGGAGGAAGTGGGGGAGGCTGAAGGAGGATGCGGAGGAAAGCAGGTGGTGAAGGAGGAGGGGGTGGAGAGGAGGACCGGTGTAAACCCCAAAGTCATCAACGATGTTAGAAACAGACCCTTCCGTGCCCCGTTGGCAGACAGCTGTTTGAAAGTCCTGAACGTGCCGAAACACCATTCTCGAGATGTCAGCGCCACGAATCCACCTGACTGTTGCGTCCTGAGGATCCTGAATCGTGCCAGAAAGCTGTTCCTGGGACTTCAAAACCGCGAATCAACCTAACTGTTGCGCCCTGAGAATCCTGAATCGCTCCATTTTACTCGCGCACGCGAACCTGGAGAATCCGCGAGACTCCTGCAGTCTTTTAAGCAAATGTGCGCGGCGCCAAGGCGGGAGCCACATTTTGAAGACGGGCCCGCTCTTAATCCGTGAAGCTCGTGCACTGTGTTCACGACGAATTCGTACGGCACTAAGGCGAATGAGATTTTGAAAGCAACCCGCCCTCAACCCGTGAAACTTCCTACAACATTTGAAGAGGATTGTGCGCGGTGCTATGGCGACAGCCGTTTTTCAGAAAACGACCTGTCCCAATCCGTGGAACCGTCGCCAATTTTAGCTTCGGGAGTATAACTGAAATGGAAGTCTCAGGCGAAACGCCTGGCCCGGCCAGCCCGTCCGACTGGCCTCGGGGTGCGACAGAAAGAAGTTACTTAGAAAGAAAAGGAATGGAGTAGGACGATGGACGATGGAGGAGGAGGAGGAGGAGGAGGAGGAGGAGGGGGAGGAGGAGGAGGAGGGAGGAGGAGGAGGAGGAGGAGGAGAAGGAGGAGAAAGGAGGAGGAGGAGGGGAGGAGAGGAGGATGTATGAGGCGGAGGAGGAGGAGGAGGAGGAGGAGGAGGAGGAGGAGGAGGAGGAGGAAGAGGAGGAGGAGGCTGGGGAGGAGGGGGAGGAGGAGGGGACGAGGAGGATGTACCCCCCTCCTGGAGCCCCTGAGTTGGCCAGAGTCACTAAACCAGAGTGTTTTCTCGGGTGACGGCAGTTCCTGTTACTGGAACGGGGCGGGGGGGCGTCCCCCAGTACACATCATTAAACCAGGTTCTACTAAACCCGGTTCTGCCAACGCCCGAAAGAGGGAGGTGATGGTTGGGGGGGGGGGGAAAGGTACGGGCTCGGAGCTCGTGCTCGGGGCTCGGGCTCGTTCTCAGCTCGGGCTTGGGCTCGGGTGGGCCCCAAGGATGGGGGCCCCGGAGCGCAGAGGAGGAGGGTGTAGCAACACCGCTACCTTCGCCTCTTTTTCTCCTTTCTGGGCCTCCTGGGACGCCCTCGTCGCCACCGCTGGATTCGCTCCGAGACCTTGGTCAGAACGCACCCCAGGAGAGGTCCGGGACGTAGCGGCACCGGTGCTTTTTGGCTTCCTCAGATGATTAGAAGCGGGGTGATGACTAGTGACAAGAATATAGAGGTTTCGTGTATCTCTCTTCAGTTCTGCCTGTTCCTTGCTTTGTCGCCGCGGGTGCCTAGACGCAGGGCCAGCACGCTTAGCAAAGAAGTGCTTTCGATAGAGCGTGCGATTTTCGAAGCCATCTGCGCCGTGGAAAACAATGATCGAGGCTTCGTATATCCCACCAGCCCATATGGAAACGACGAGTCTAGGGCGATGTGCCCGAAGAGGAGAGGTTCCAGAGCATCAGTGACACAGAGGGGGGGCGGGCACCTGTCAAGCCGAAGCTGGCATCAGCGTGAGCAGACCCAGATCACCGGTCTGCCCTCCCATCTTTCGGGGGCGTCTACGAAGGGTGTGATGACCAGGGGGAAGCGATCATGGCCGGGGCCATGAAACCTCCCCCGATATCATGGCCCGCACTTCTCATTTCAATACGTGCCCCGGTTCCCCCCGCGTCCGCGCACATGCCTCGGGCCGTGAATTGCGAACCCTCCTCTGGGACGCCCCCGCCATGGCCGCTGGCCGCGCGGGCGCCCGCCCCTGTCACCCCGCCGCACGCCCCCCTGTCACCCTGCCATCCCAGGCATGCTCGCTTCCTGGCGAAATTCTTGAAGTTCCGCGTATACCCACCAGCTCACACCGAGTGATCGACCTCTGCGTGTTCATGGTCGCGCCGCGCCATTTTGCTGCGCCTACTTGTTGATGGTCGCCACCGGGTTCTCCACGCCACCGAGTTGGGAGTGTTGTTTCTGGCTCTTCTTCTTCTGAGTGACTGCCCGCGCGCTCAGTTTGCTTGCCTCTCTTTTCTTGCTGCCTAGTCGCGGCCCGGCTAGCGTTCGGACGGATTTCGACCTGCTTCGCGAGCCCGCAAACCAAGAAATATACCCACCAGCACATTTGCAGCCATCTCGTCACCTACATGGACGTGTTCCCGGTGCCGCTTCGTAATGCCGTTCGCTCCTTTTTGGCTGCGCAGAGTTCCGTTCCGATTCGTGCATGGCGTTGCTCGCCTCTCTGTTTTCCCCGTGGCTTGTGGCGCGGCCTGTCCATGTTTGCGCGGCGTTCGACTCGCTTGTCGCCCGCGTTCCAAAAACTATACCCACCAGCCCATCCAGAAGCCGATCGCCACGCGAGTGGCCAGGACCAGGGGATTGTAGAAGTGTGCAGCGTAACAACCGTTCGGGAAGTGTTTGTTTCCTCTCGGATGTCTCTTGGAGCCATCTCGGGTCTCTGTTGGGGTCTGACGAACGTCCAAGGACCAATCACAACATGTTTAGCTTGGTGTGGGCATTTGTTTTGTTATTCGCTGTTTCGCTTCAGCTTCGTTTCGCTTTTCGTTGTTGCTTTCAACGCCTCGCCTCGTGGGTCGTTTCGTTTGGCGCCAGTTTCGTGTTGAGCGTACGTTTTAAAAAAAGTTGAGTTGGTTCCGTTTTTCGTTTCATACGCAATTTCGGTTTAAACATCGTTTTGGTCGATCTTTGCAACAATTCGGGCGGGAGATTTCTCGCTGGTCTCAGCCTCTGGGAACTCTTACCGTGGGCCCCGCGGCCGACCACGCGACGATCCTGGATGAACAAGATCCGCCCCGCACGACCGTCATACCGAGACAAAAAGATCGAGGTCGGCTCGGGGAGGGTACCCTCATGTTCTTCGTGCCCATCGGGGGCGGCAAAGAGGGGGTGATAATTTACGGGGGTGCGCATCATGACGGGAGCCATGACAGTTTCACAGATTGCATGGCGCCCCTTCTTGTTCCCAGCCATCCTGTGGTGTTGAACAGACAGCGCCCGCGTCCTTCCTCCCGCTGCCCCCCCCCTCCCTCTCCCCCCCATCAGCATCCCCACCGTCAGCATCACCATCATCAGCATCACCGTCACCATCATCCCCATCACTGATCACACGTTTCGTGGCCCCACAGGGAGCTCCACCGAAGGCCCACCGCACATATTTCAGCACACCCCTCACACGCTTCGTGGCCCCATAAGGAGGTCCACCGAAGGCCACACTGGCTGCGTTCACATTTTGCTCACCGCACCCATGCCGGCACGCCCCTCACACGCTTCGTGGCCCCAGAGGGAGCTTCACCGAAGGCCCCAGTGGCTGCGTTCGCATGCGCCCACCGCACCCACGTCGGCACACGCTTCACACGTTTCGTGGCCCCATAGGGGGCTCCACCGAAGGCCCCAATTTCTGCGTTCGCACGCGCCCACCGCACCCATGTTGGCACACCCCTCACACGTCTCGTGGCCCCACAAGGAACTCCACCGAAGGCCCCAGTGGTTGCGTGCCAATGCGCCCACAACACCAATGTCGGCACACCTCTTGCACGCTTCGTGGCCCCACAGGGATCTCCACCGAAGGCCACAGTGGCTGCGTTCACATGCGCCCACCGCACCCATTTCGGCACACAGTTCACACGTTTCGTGGCCCCATAAGGGGCCCACCGGAGGCCACAGTGGCTGCGTTCACGTGCGCCCGCCGCACTCATTGTAGCACACGTCTCACACGTTCCGTGGACCCAAAGGGAGCTCCACCGAATGCCCCAGAGGTTGCGCTCGCATGCGCCCGCCCACCGCACCCATGTCGGCTGACGCTTCACACGTTTCGTGGCCCCACGGGGAGCTCCACCGAAGGTCCCAATTGCTGCGTTCGCATGCGACCACCGCACCAATTTCGGCACACCCCTCACGCGTTTCGTGGCCCCATACGGAGCTCCACCGAAGGCCCCAGTGGCTGCCACACCCATTTCGGATCACACCCCTCGCACGTTTCGTGGCCCCATCAGGAGCTCCACCGAAGGCCACCGTGGCTGCGTTCACGTGCGCCCACCGCACCCATATCGGCACACCCCTCACACGTTCCGTGGACCCAAAGGGAGCTCCACCGAATGCCCCAGAGGTTGCGCTCGCATGCGCCCACCGCACCCATTTCGGCACACCCCTCACACGCTTCGTGGCCCCATAGGGAGCTCCACCGAAGGCCCCAGCGGCAGGCCCCAGCGGCTGCGTTCACATGCGCCCACCGCACCCATGTCGGCAACCCCTTCCCACGTTTCGTGGCCCCACAAGGAATTTCACCGAAGGCCCCAGTGGTTTCGTTCCAATGCGCCCACCGGACCCAGTTCGTCACGCCCCTCACACGTTTCGTGGCCCCCCCATCGGGAGCTCCACCGAAGGCCCCAATTCTTGCTTTCGCATGCGCCCACCGCGCCCAGTTCAGCACGCCCCTCACACGTTTCGTGCCCCCATGGGGAGCTCCACCGAAATCGTCAGCGGCTGCGTTCGTATGCGCCCACCGCACCCATGTCGGCACGCCCCTCACACGCTTCGTGGCCCCATACGGAACTCCACCGAATGCCTCAGTGGCTGCGCTCGTACGCGCCCACCGCGTGCATTTCGGCACACCCCTCACAAGTTTCGTGGCCCCACAAGGAACTCCACCGAAGGCCCCAGTGGCTGCGTTCCAATGCGCCCACAGCACCAATGTCGGCACACCTTTTGCACGTTTCGTGGCCCCACAGGGAGCTCCACCGAAGGCACCAGTGGGTGCATACTATGCGCCCACCGCACACATGTCGGCACAACCCTCAAATCTATCGTGGCCCCATAGAAAGCTCCCTCTCGTTCGTTCAACCTGCCTTGTGGTACTCGCAACGGCATATGGTTTGGTCCTTCGTCCGGCTAACTTTAATACGTCCCTGCCCCCCCCTGGGCCGCGCACGTGCCGCTTGTCATGATTAGCACACCCCCCTCGTGGACGCCCCCTTCTTTGCCGCCCCCGAAAAGATCGAGGTCGGCTCGGGGAGGGTACCCTCAGTTCTTCGTATCCAGGCCCCCCAGACCTCGTCGGAGTGAGTGGGGTCGGAGGATCGCGCCGCATCGCTTTTGCATTTGGCGAGCCATCGCCATATCCATGAAGCGTAAAATCCATGTGTGCGCGCCCCCGAGCAGCGGACTCCGCCGGCCCATCTCCCAGCTCCCCGCGTCGCCTCGCCAGCTGGTGCTGCAGCGGTGTGGGAGCATCCCGCCTGCTGGTTTGGACCCCCTCGAGTTCGGAGCCCCTCGTCGCAGTCCTGGAGAGTCTCTGGAGCCACTCCCCTCCGCCCCCTCCCTCGTCCAGCAGGAGTGAGGTTTTGCATCCTCCAACCTGGCCGTATGGTTGTGTGGTGTTCAGCGCTCCCACTTTGGGCAACAACAACAACAATGCGCCCCTGAAGAGGGGGAGGAGGAGGAGGAGGAGGAGGAGGAGGAGGAGGAGGATTACCAAGCGCGCTATAGGCTGAAAGGATGACCAAGCGCGGAAAGCCCGAACAGCCCCGCGAGGCGGTAAGGCCGCGCGTGGGGGGGTGCCTTCGGGCTAAGCCTGTGCACCCCCTTAGGAGGAGGAGGAGGAGGAGGAGGAGGAGGAGGAGGAGGAGGAGGAGGACCAGTGCAAACCCAAGACTCATCAAACACTTTCCCTCCAAGCTCCCCCTTTCATAGGTCCCATACAAGGTTTCATTTTCACTGAGGGAGCTGCCTCGTTCCGAGATAACCGAAGACTCTGAAGCGTGCCAAAACACGGGACTCCCACGCCACAGATGAGACCGATTGTTGCGGTTTGACGATATTGAACCGTGCCAAAAAAACAAATTCTGGGACTTAACACCGCGACCCAACGAAATTGCAGCGCCCCCGCAGTTCGGAGCCCTTCCGAAACATCATCCCTTGTATGTTGACCATGGGAGTCCGTGGAGCCATTGCACCCGTGTAAGACGAGTGTGCGCCCTCAATCCGTGGAACTCTTGCAAATGTTTGAAACGAATGTGTGTGGCGCTAAAGCGAGAGCCACAGTTTGGAAGCTACCCGCCCTCGATTTGTGAACCTGTTGCATTTGCTTTCGTTTCAGGGTCATAATTGGCGAGGAGGAGGAGGCGGAAGAGAGGAGGAGGAGGAGGAGGAGGAGGAGGAAGAGGAGGAGGTGGAGGAGGGAGGAGGGCGGAGGGACCCCTCGCTCGCCCTCGATCTCCCTGTCTGACGCGCCCCCCCCTCCGAGATGTCTGGCGGCAGCGCCCGCTGTGCCCCCCCCCTCCGGCGCCCAGCCTGCCTGCGCCCGCCAGGCGCGGGCGAGGCTGCAGGACCGCGTCGCCCGTCGCACGCAGACGAGGCCCGGGGTCCGCCCTTCGGGTTAGGAGATCGACTACATGGTGAAGTGAACCCCCGAATCGGTTCTTCCTGTAGAATGCATGTAGAATGCAGGAAAGTACGTAGAATGTTCAAGGGGAGCGAAAAATGACATAAACAGAACAACTCGGAGGTCCGCGCGGATTTCTTGGATCCGCGCTGCCCCCCCCCCCCCCCGGCGCGCGGAGCGCGCCAGGGGCGGCGCCGGAGGCGCCGCCAGGGGCCCCCAGCGCCGATCCGGGAAATCCGCGCGGACCTCCGAGTTATTATGTTTATGTCATTGTTCGTTTCCCTATGTTCGTATAGATGTACGAACGCTCTACGTATTTGTTGTAGATTCGACGGGATATCAATTTTGGGGTACATCACTCCTGTAGTCGCGCCCCTACTCGAAGGGTCCGCGCTGCTCCTTTTTATCAGCGGCGCGCCCGGGGAGGGAAGCGAGAAGAGGCAGTGCAGAGCTGCGTAATGGGGAGGAGATACATTGGCGGGGCGAAGATAAAAGTGCACCTTTTGTGCCTTGACGGGGTCCCCTGTCGCCCAGAAGAGACGCGTGAGGTGCACGTTCGCTCCCCCCCACACACACGCACACCAACACACACACAACACACACACTCAACAAACAACGCACTCCTCACACACACAACACACAACACACACGGCACACAACACACACACAACACACAACACACAACACACAACACACGACACACGACACACACCACACACACATAACACACAACACACGCAACACACACACAATCTACACACATAACACTCAATTTACACACTACACACAACACACAACACGCAACACACAACACAACACACACAACACACAACACACACAACACACAACATACACACAATACACACAATATACACACAACATATACACACCACACACTTAAAACACCACACAACACACGACACACAACGCACAACACACATTACACACAACACACACAACACACAACACACGACACACAACACATTCAACACAGACGCAACACACACAACACACAGACACACAACACACAACACACACACAACACACACATTCACAACGCACAACACACATTACACACAACACACACAACACACAACACACGACACACAACACATTCAACACAGACGCAACACACAGACACACAGACACACAACACACACAACACACACATTCACAACACACACAACCCGCACACACGCACGTACGCACGCGCGCACGTACGCACGCACGCACGCACGCATTCACGCACGCACGCACGCACGCATGCACACACACATTCACGCACACACACACACACTGACACAGACACAGACACAGACACAGACACAGACACAGACACAGACACAGACACATACACACACAGACACAGACACAGACAAAGACACAGACACAGACACAGACACAGACACAGACACAGACACAGACAGACATTCACACAGACACAGACACACAGACACAGACACAGACACACACACACAGACACACACAGACACGCACACACACACACACACACGCACGCGCACACGCACACGCACACGCACACGCACACGCACACACACGCACACACGCACACGCACACGCACACGCACACGCACGCGCGCACGCACACGCACACGCACACGCACGCGCACACGCCCACGCCCACGCCCACGCCCACGCCCACGCCCACGCCCACGCGCACGCGCACGCGCAAGCGCACGCGCACGCGCACGAGCACGCGCCCGCGCACACGCCAACGCGCACGCGCACACGCACACGCACACGCACACGCACGCGTAAGCTCACACGCACACGCGCACACACGCACACACGCGCACGCGCGCACACGCGCACGCGCGCACACGCGCACACGCGCACACGCGCACACGCGCACACGCGCACACGCGCACACGCGCACACGCGCACACGCGCACGCGCACACGCGCACATGCGCACACGCGCACACGCGCACACGCGCACATGCGCACACGCGCACACGCGCACACGCGCACACGCGCACACGCGCACACGCGCACACGCGCACACGCGCACACCCACACATGCGCACACGCGCACACGCGCACACGCGCACACGCGCACACGCGCACACGCGCGCACGCGCACCCGCACGCCCGCGCACACGCGCACACGCGCACACGCGCACACGCGCACACGCGCACATGCGCACATGCGCAGACGCGCACACGCGCGTACGCGCGTACGCGCACACGCGCACACGCCCACACGCGCACACGCGCACACGCGCACACGCGCACACGCGCACACGCGCACACGCGCACACGCGCAGACGCGTACACGCGCACACGCGCACTTTCGCGTGTGCAAGTGCGCACACGCGCACACGCGCACACGCGCACGCGCGCACGCGCGCACGCACGCACGCACGCACGCACGCGCGAGCGCGCACGCGCGCACGCACGCACGCACGCACGCACGCACGCGCGAGCGCGCACGCGCGCACGCGCGCACGCACGCACGCACGCACGCGCGCACGCGCGCACGCACGCACGCACGCCCACGCACGCACGCCCACGCACGCACGCACGCACGCACGCCCCTTGCGCACGCACGCCCGCACGCACGCACGCACGCACGCGCACGCACGCACGCACACGCACCCACACGCACGAACCCACACGCACGCACGCACGCACGCGCGCGCGCACACACACATTTGTTGCGTCGGCGGCTGGGCAGAGGGTGACTGCTCCAGCGGACAGGCAACAGGGGACACACTGCATGCAGATTAACACCGCGATGCACGAGGGAGGAGGAGGAACCTCGGCGCGACAGGGAGAGAGGAAACCGGGCCCACTCAGGCAACACACGCAAATCATCTGTCGTTCTCCCATGCAGCAGCGCCGGAGGCTGACCCTCCGAGAAGCGTTCTGGCAGGCATTCCCCGAATACACTGAAAGCTTTTCAAGAGGCGCGAGGGTTTCTGAGAAGCCCGCGTCCTTTGAGAAGGCCTGCCCCCCCTCACGTCCCCCTTGGGCGCGCCGCCTACTCTGGCTCCCCAGCTTGGGTGTTTTTTTCCGGTAGTGGTCCCTACCTCGGCCTCGCGCCTCTTTAGAGGAGGAGCAGGTACCCATACCGCTACCTCTGCCTCGTTTTCGCCCCTCTGGGTTTCCTGGGAGGCCTCGTTGCCACCGCTGGATTTCTAGGCCTCCCAGATGGGGTTCGAGTAGATGGGGTCGGAGGATCGCGATGCATCGACGATGCGGCTCGATGCAGAGCCCGATTTTCCCCATGCCGATGGCGCCGATGCACCGCCATCGTCGGCGATGCATCGGCGATGCATTGGCGATGCGGCGCGATCCTCCGACCCCGTCTTCTCGGACCCCATCTACGATTGGCTTGGAACGTCCGGTCAGAACGCGCCCCGACAGAGGTTCAGGATGCAGCGGTCTCAGTATCTCCTGGAGTTGTCCTTGCCTGCCCCGCTGGCATTGAGTGCTGTTGGGGTCCTCCTTTCCCTCCCCCCCCTTCACCCCGCTCGGGAGGGAAAAGTCCAGGGAGACAGGGAAAAACCGATGGCGATGATTCGTGATACAGTCTGGTCGTTTCGAGGAGGGTACCCTGCTGTTTTTGTCGTGTGGATGTTATTGTGCATCTTGGGGAGGACACCCTCGGATGTTCTGTGTGTTTTGGCCGGCGGAGGGCCTCATGGTCTTGACGGGCGCTTTTCTGTTCTAGCCCCAGCTGCGTCTTGCTCTCCCATCGCGGATTCCGCGGCCCGGTGCAACATGCCCCGCGGCCAGGGGGCTTAAAAACCAATGTGCTCCATCGCGCTGACGCCGGCGTGGGTGCCAGCATGCAGCTTGCGTTGGTCTGGGCGCAACAAGCGGGATTTGTCTGGAGGGCCCTTCGGGGGAGAACCGATCCGATCGACCTGGTAATGCTGGACGCCCACATCGACCACAATCAGTGCTAAGCTTGCGTCGGTCATCCCCGAGGGCGTGGCCTCGGTTATTGTCCCCGCGTTAGGGGCCGCACGAAGCGTGGACCCTGTCTTGTTGCGATCAGGACTGCACCGTGTTCGGCGCCCGACTGGTTGCGCCATGGCAGGGCAGCCGCTTTTCGTCGCGCGGGGCTTGGAACGCGCACCACGAGCACGATCGGAGGTGCTGAGCCCAGCGGGGCGACGAGCGGTAGGAGCTGCTGGCTCAAGGGGCTTACGCCATTCCGCCGACACCCAGAAGAGGGACGAAGTCAATAGGTGAGGATGTTGGGGGCCTCTTTGGGGGGGCCTCTTTTGGGCCTCTCGGGGGCCGCGTCGGGCCTCTTTAGAGTTTTCTTGGGCGCCTGCTGGCGATCTCGGAGGTCCTCCTGGTGCGGAGGGCCATCCCCAGCGGGGCGACGAGCAGTATGAGCTGCTGGTTTTCGAGATTCACTGTCGTTTTCGTACACGGCCAACCGACGAAAACGGGGTCCACTGCAGGGGAAACCGACAGGTACCGATACCGCTACTCCCCAGACCTCTCTCGGGGCGCCTTTTGACTAGAGTTTGGAGGCGAATCCAGCGGTGGCGACGAGGGCCTCTCAGGGGGCCCAAGAAGAGGGAAATCGATGCAGGGGTGGCGGTATCGGCACCTCTTCCTCCTCCGAACTGCGTTGGCATTCGCAGCTGAGTTTCCCACGTGCGGTCGCGCGTAGGCGCCTCGTTTCCAGCGCCAGCGCGGCGTGCCGCGCCAGCGGCCCGCGTGAGACCGCGCAGGTCCGCTGTGCCATCCCGCGTCAGTCCCGGTTCTCCTCGTCGCTCACACGTCGGCGCCGCTATCGGAACGTCCAGGTTGGCCAGTGCGCGCGGGCCCGCGCGGGGCCCCGGGTTAATTCGTGTGCTGCGGTGTGCGCTCGCGCGACGAGCCAGGCCGCGCGTCTGCCACCGCGCGCGCTCGCGAAGAGGCCACCTTTTGCCGCCGGGGCCCGCTCGGTGCAGTGAGGGGATGCGCTGGGACGTGCCATGCTGTAGTGGCGCCGCGCTGGGACATCGCGGTGCGCCGCCGCCGTGACGCCACGCGGGTCCTTGACGACGCGTTGAAACATTACATTGTGACACCACGCTGTGACATGTGACATCGCGTGGTGACACCACGCTGTGACATTACGACGTGACATCACGAAGTGATCTTTCCCACGGGTCGGAATGTCAATCCCACGGTCAGGATATATCGTCAAATGGGGGGCGCCATATCGGGGGACCGTCAGTGGTGCAATTGCCCAGTCGCGCGCCCTGTTCATCGGGGGGCGACGATGTTTGAACACATTGCGCAACGAGCCCGCCGCAGGCGCCTTTTTTCGTGAAAGCAATGTGTGGGTCGCGGGTGGTTCGCAGCTGGTTCGAGGGGTGGGTCGCGGACGGGTTGTGGGGGTTTTTGACGACAACAACAACAATCATTTTCAGTTTGATCGTTCTCATCTGCTCGCGTATCATTCAGCATGCATATCCCAAACCTTAGATACCCGCCCTCGTCTTCGATCACACACCCCTGGGGGTACATCTTCCTTACCTGACATGCGTAGTCGTGCCTAAAACAGAGTGGCGAAGGGAAGGTACAACGTGGAAAGAGAATCATGGTGCACGACAGAGACTGACAGGAGGGTGCTAGGAGCCGTCCCCTGCGCGGGGCCAGTTGCGCACGGGGCGGTCCAGTCCTGGACGGTCTCGTGGAAGTGTGGCCTGCATCTCTAAGGTCTTTCTCGTCCCCATGCTCGCTCTTCCCCATCCTTTCTCACCCTCCCTCCCTCCCTCCTTCCCTCGCGGCCCGTGCCGCGCAAGGGACAACAGCCGCAAGGCGGACGGCGGGCGGGAGACCACTCGCAGAGGCGCCCGGACACTTCGGGGAGACTCGGTGGTGCAGAGAGGAGTCGGTTCTCAGAGGGGTGTGGAAGCAAGCAGGGCAGTTTCCTCCTCTTTTTCCTCCGCCTTTTCCTCCCTCTCCTGCGCTGGACTTCCTTAGCGATTCGAACAGCTCGCGCCAGAGACGCTTCGCCATGACTGACGTCTGGAGGCCGTTTCTGGCCTGTAGAGCCGGCAAACAGCGACTCAGGATGAAACATCGATCCCGAGGTAGGGATTGGGATTGTAAGGGGCCAGCGACTAAAAACATTCGAGTCGTCGGAGGTATAGGTGTTCTCTGCCTTCTTCTCCTCCTCTTCCTTTTCCCTGTCCTCGTGCTCCTCTTCCTTCCCCTCCCTCTTCCTCCTCCCCCTACTGTTCCTCCTTTCCCTCCGCCTTCAGTGGCGGAGCTGAATGATTGTTTAGCGGTCTCTCTCTCTCTCTCTCTTTACGCCAGGTGGGGAAGCAGTGGGACAGTGGCCTGTGAGCACTGGGAAGTGGAGGAGGGCGAGGAGGAAAGGAGGAGGAGGAGGAAAAAAGTAGAAGAAGAAGGAGGGGGTTGACGACGGCGACGACGACGATGACCAGCAGCAGCACCAGAAGCAAGATGATGGTGGTAGGCTGGAGGTAGGAGGCCTGAGGCAGAAGGCTGGCGGCAGGAGAGAGGAGGATGCAGGAGGTACGAGGAAACTGACTGATTCAGGCACCAGCTACGGACGCTACCGACACTGCCGAAGCGATCGCACTCGAATATGCTTTAGACTTCTTACACGGATTTGTCCGCGCACCAGGCGCCTGATCATCCAGATGGCGGTTCAATAGGTATGTCGCATGCGGCCAGCACCGGGAGTATGAGGTATATTGGACGAACGCGATGGTGGTGATCATGGTATGGAATGTGTGTTCGTCGTCGGACATCATACATCGCCTTCCCGAGTTGTCTCATCTCGCTGTGTGTATGGACGCATTCACTTTGATTATCTACCAAGTATTTGCATTACCGGGCACGCGCCTAAGTCTTGGGAGTTGAATTGCACCAGGAATTGATCGCCCACGACGCTAAGAATACAATTGCGATCAATATTGCTCGGACAGCCCACCCATGACCGTGATCTGGGACTGGCCCCCCCTCCCCTCGAAATTGTAGAGGGGGTAATTATGGTGGTATCTGGCAACCTCCGCCTCGGCTCCTGTGCCATCCACCCCCGTTCACCGCCACCTGCAGGACGCTCCACACTCCTCCAGCCCTCCTCCCATCCCTCCTCCTCCTCCTCCTCCTCCTCTTCCTCCTCCTCCTCCTCCTCCTGGCCGATTCCCTCTGACTCCACCTCCCAGCCCTCCGCCCCACCACCCACCAAACGACCCCAATCCAACCCGACCCGAAGGCCTCAATTTTTGGTTTTTCTCCCAAAATCCCCCTGTAGGGGGAAACCGCCCCTTCCGCCGGCGATTCTGTGCCCTTTTCGCCGGCGGAGGGGGGCTCCCGATCCGTCCTCAGGGCCCCTTGTCCCTCGCCGACGTCCCTCCCCTGCCCCATACATCCCACCCTCCTCCTGCTCGCCTTCTCCTTCCACTTTTCCGATGCTGCGGTTGGAGCTGCCTCTGGAGCGACGGCGGCTAATTCGCCTGAGCCGAGGTTTCTCTATGACCCCCGAGATAGGCCCTCGGAGAGATCGTTGGGGCCGCGAGTTGCCTCATCGATTTGAGTGGCCGCATCGATCAGTACGAGTTGCCCCGCATGGCCCGAGAGGCCTTGACCCCTAGGGTGGCGCCGCGGTCCGGGATCGTGGTGGAGGGTGGGCGGCTCTCTCATCAATCAAATATTCATGGGAAGCAGTTGTGGCTCTACCAACAGGGCATGGTAGTACAGTGGGGATGCGCGTCAACAAAACGAATGCTTTTCGTGTACCCTGTTTTTTTCGCTCCGCGCGCTATTTGGTGACTCTTCGCGGCCGTTGAAGGAGTTGCTGCGTGCAGTGTGCTTTGGGCGTTCCACCACTTGCATCTCGCGCTGGTGGGTTTTCAGGGCTTGGCTTCTTGCGAAGGTTTCTTGAGGCCACGCCCCCGCTGTAGCACTTTTGGCGTCTGGAGGGGAACCGATGGCGTGGAAAAGCTTTACGGATGCGCTTCGGGAGGACGACGTCGCGTGTGCCCCCCTCGAAGGCAGCGGTCTCTCGGATTGGGGTGCCACGCGCGGGGGGACATCGTCAGTGGCACTGTTGCAGATGGCGATACGCCACCCGAGACGTCCACGACAGTTTCTTGGCATCGCTCGGACGTGTGCACTTTTTTCTTCGGTGAGGCCCATCGAGGAGCATCCTTGGTCATTTGGCGAAAGAACCACGCACGATACCAAACAAGCACAGGGAATGGACGTCCGAGCGATGGCGAGGTTTCCCTCACACCGCGCAGATGCATGCTTCAACGTCAGGGCGGTTGGACGGATAGAGTTACCCTCCGTTTTTCGCTTCGACGAGGGTTCTGCGAGAAGCCGAATTTCGGCGGGAATCCGCAGATGTTGCTGTTGATCTTCACGCTCTGATGCGCAGCCCCTGAGAAACCGCCCTCGAGGGCGCGAAGTGATTCGCGCTTCGTTGTTCGGCTCCGATTCCTCCTCATCCTCCTCTTCTCCCCTTGGAGGCGGCGCGAGAGCGCGAAGTTCTTCGCACTTCGCGCTCTCGCGCAGCGCGAAGCGCGAAGTTGGGAGCCTAAGAAACGGTGACGATCGAGCGTGGAGGTCGTTACCCGCCCCCCCTTCTCCTCCTCCTCCTCCTCCTCCTCCTCCTCCTCCTCCTCCTCCTCCTCCTCCTAGTCGCAATTTGGGCTGGCAGGAGCATTACCGACTTACGAATGGCTTGTTTGCTACCCGAAAGCGATTTTGACCTCCCATAGTTCGGCCAGGCGGGGGGGGCACACGCACTTCTTACCATCATGAGAATCGTCCAATATAATCCACTTTATGCGGGGTCGGTAGAAAGAATAAACGACATTAGCCAAGAGCTTTCCCAATGGGACGTGATCCTCCTCAACGGTACGCATGAGTGGTGTGGGGAAGGGCCAGCAAAAACGACAATCCTTCCGAACCACTGGTGCCTAAGATTTGGAGCAAAGAAAAATACGAATGGTGACAAAAGCATGCGGAGTTTCTATCTTGGTTCACAAGAAGATCCCACCCACTGCGCTCAGGAGTATCTACCACCCTCCATGTGGGTTACAGGGCAGAGCAGCAGGCATCAAGTTACACGTGGGGGACCAGGACTACGCACTCTTCTCCATGTACTTTGCGCCAGTGCACGTTCGCTGCCACAGTGAAATAGGGAGGAGACTTTGCGAATGGCTAGAACACACTACTGACCGTCTCGGTGCTAGAGCTATGATTGTGGTCGGGGGAGACATCAATAGCGACCCATGGCTCTACCGAGCCCCAGATAGTGCAAACATCCTACGAGAAATGTCTGGGACCGTATGCGCAGGTACTGGAACACGACAACGGAACCACAGCTAGGAAATTAGCTTCCCATAGCGAACTAGCGTTTGTGACGACATACCACGACATCGGGCACACATTCGTGGGACCACAGGGGGGACTGAGCAGGGTCGACCACATGATGATACCGACAGGTGCTTTAGGAGTTGTGGACAGGCGCATGGTACTTCACACTGCAGGAAAGCGCCTACAGTTGATCAAAGCACGAGGGCCAGGAGACCATCTACCAGTGGGGCTGGTTCTCAATAGGAAGGCGGTCCACCTCCCACGCCCCCCACTCCCGCATGCTCAGAGGCTGGACAGGGATGCACTTATGCAATGCCTCAGGAAAGGGACGAGGAGAGAGGAGCTATTGAAGAAGATGGAGGAGGAAGTAAGCAAGACGGGAGAGGAGGAGTGGCGAAGTTTGCAGGACGCACCAACGCCCGACAGAGCCTGGGCGAAGTTCGGAGACGCCATTCGCGGAGCACTACGACAGACGTTCCCAGCCAGCAAACCGACGGAGGATCCGATAGAAGCTAGGTTCAAGGAAAGAAGGATGAAGTTGCTGGCCGACAGGAGAACCCTCAGAGAAACGCTGGCCCCAGAGATCCCAGAGGAGGCACTCGTCCAGAAACGCGAGGAGCTTAAGGAAATCACAGCTGTCCTGAACAAGATGAGGGAGGAGAGAGAGAGAGGGAGAGGAGGGCGAAGTTGGTGGAGGAGATATGGGAGGCGTCTGAGAGAGGAGACTTCTCGGAAATGCATAGGCTGAGGATCCAGTACCAGGCGAACGGCAGAGGACCAAAACAAACGGTACTACTTCACGCCAAAAACTCATTGGACGAAAGCCATGTGGGAGGAGGAGCTAGCTAAGCCGCCAGAATAAGGAGGACTAGGAGCGGTAAGGATGAGCATTGAGGAGCAGCTGGAGGAGCATGAGAACTTTCACTCCGATAGGATGCCATTGCCGTGTGACCACGACCTGTTGGAATGCGTAGGGTGAGATCGCAGGTCGATGTTGAAGTATTGCAGGAAGGCAAAAAAACGGCGAGCATGGCCGGCGTGGGGGCTACCTGTGGAAGCGACTCTTCTCTTGTTGGATCCGACGGCACAATTGTCCGACCCCAGCGAGCAGATTAGGAGGTGGGAGGAGAAAGCAGCGAAAGCAGCAGGAGATGATGAGGAGGAGACCGCCCGCCTGTCCACAGCGTTCCGATTCCAGCGATGGAGGAAGTTATTAGAGAAGCTTGGGTGGACAGGAGGAGGGCCGGGAGTCAGAGAGGGTATCACGGCCGATCCAGAAGCGCTGTGCGACAACTACGGTGCAGGAAGAGAGGAAAGAGCAGGGCTGGGAAGAGCTAGACCGAGTGTGTACAACAATCCGACTGTGCAACGACGGCTCACTGATGTGCTGACTAAATGTAGGACGGCTATGACGACACCACTGGACTGGCACAGATCGATGGCATTCGGCGCTGAGAAAAATAACGGGCGAGAGGGAATACACGGCCAGCGTATCATGCACGCGTATTGCAGCATGGGGATGTCGTGGTTCTTGGGAATA